CAGCTGTGTGCACACACAGGCTGATATCTCAGCTCAATAATATCCTCGCAGAAAGACATTATAGCTCTCCATCATATCAGAACTGGATGAAACAGCCGTGGCCAGATCAGACCTTCAATCAGGCACTATGTGCATTTGCAGAACCATTTATCTGTCTCACTGTAAAAACACTTATCCATCACTGAGCAGGAAAATGCTAAAAATTGCATGAAGAAAAGTCATCTCAAAGGGTCAGCTGCCCAGGAAAATATTGTTTTTCAGCACGGCTGCTTTTTAAACCATCTTTTCCATTCATAAGTATTGGCCACTAAATTCTGCTGAGCCAGGAGAAGACGCACCACCTCTCAGAAACATCAGCGTTTTTACCCCGGCCCGGTATATTCATTGGTCAGAAGGAGGAGGGAGGGGGTTTCCCGCTGCGCTGCCTGACCGGCGAGCATTCATGGGGGGAGGGGCTAAAAAACACCTTTTTTCAGAAGATGAACTGAGGTGTCACGAAGGCCAGGTGCAAAGAAGGATTATTAGAGTTTGAAATCCTTCTCAGGATAATCCAGTAAGTCCAAATATGCTGTTGAAACAGGGAACACGGCCCCTTTAAGGTCGGGGTAAAGATCACAGAGATGCTTTAAAGATACTCTGCGGTTAGGTTTACGGAAAACTCGTGGTCAGTGATGAAAACTTCGTTTAGAGAAGCTGATGTTTGCTAAAAAGGGAAAAACCCGTGATCAAGATTTTAACGGAGGGACGTGGCCGAGCGTGAAAAAGTGAGCGGGACGTAAAAGTGCTTTTGCAGGTTAGCATGGGAAAAGAAAGGAGAGGATAGCGACCACGATTAAATGACACAAAACACTTCCTGCTGTGGGCTCTGATTTCACATTTAGGAGACTTTAGGAACTCAAACTGACTGAAAGAGTATCTGCAGGAAGCCGCTTATCAAAGTGTAACGGACGCTCGTCGAGAGGTTTTATTTTCTGAGCTTGGAGACACGATTGTTCGTTCAAAGTGAAAACATGACTTCTTTACTCCAAAAACATAAACGGGCAGAATGTGGAAGTGGAGCTTTTTCACGGGCTGGTCAGCTACTGAGAGGCAGGGAGGAAGAGACAAAGAGCTGGGCTGTGGCTGGCTGTGGAGGGGGAGGTGGGATGATGAAGGAGGAGGATGAGGAGGAGAAGGAGGGGGAGCGCTGTGTTGTGCTGCATTGTGCGCTGGCGGCTCCAGCTGCCCTGCCGCTGTGCTGCTTGGCTCACCCAGCGTCTGGCAGGCGGCCAATCACAGCGCAGGAAAGCAGTGCCACTTCAGTTCAGTGTGTCAGAACGAACAGGGGAGGGAGGAGATACAGAGATGTAAGGAAGACGAGGGGAGGGAGGCGTGGGGGGAAGCAGATCGGGGAGAGAGGGACGAGAGGAGGAGAAGATGGAAATGGGAGGAGGCAGGAGGAGAAAAGGAGGGAGAGGCAGACGGCGCTGCATCCGCACCTCCGGATGGAGCAGCAGCAGCCTGCACCATTTCCTCAGAGCTGCGCGTGGAGGCAAAGCATTCCTGCAGCTGCATCAGCGTGCAGGGAAAAAACCAAAGAGAATACCTGCATGCTGATGAGTCACAGTCACCTCTCCACCTGGCAGCAGCAAGAGGGAAAGCCAATCTCGCATTTCCTCTTGTCACTTCCTTTGTCACCTGTCATTTCCCCGAGTGACGCTCACAAATGACGCCGACTTAAAACTACTTCGTCCCGGCGACGTCCCAGCCCTCGCCTCGCAGGCCTCGGCGCCTTCACGGGGTTCCTGCGTGTTTTGGTTTGTGTCGGGATTAAAGGTGATGACTAACACCACACGACGAGAGCAGAGACGCCGTGTGCACAGGAAGAGACAGGAAGGAGACTTTCTACTGTAAAAATGTGTCTGTCCCACTTTCCTTTGTCTAACCTTGACTGTGGATCAGGTTACAGACTGTGGCACACACACAGACACACACAGCCTCTGCAACCTGCCACAGACGCACAACTCACCTCTTAGAGCATCACAAAAGGAGAAAACATGTCTGCAGTGCTAATTGAGAAGCACGTCGTTTGTGTGCGTGCGTGCACGAGCGCTACGTGCCGGCCCCTCTCTACACCACATGAACGCGCTGCACCCTTCCACCTCCATCTGTGTCTGCTTTCTGCTGTTCCTCCTCTCTGTCTGTTACACAGCACGCCGTTTGCCACCCACCTTTGGTTTAATGAAGGTTTCTGCTTTTCTATTTTCCCCCCACATCGCTTCAGGTGATGCAGTTTGTTTGTAACACGGCAGAAGCTTCCTGCTTGTATGTTAATGTCCGACGGCGAGACTATAAATGACACGAAACACCACAGAATCTATTCTTTATAATCTATTGCAATTAGTGTTAGAGGTGAAGATCAAAACACAGATTTAGTCCCGTCATGGCAGGACTGACATTTATTGGATTTTGACTTCTAACGATCATGAAAACAAAAAAACGCAGCAAACCTTTCTCCTGTGTGCCGATGCTCTCGTCCTTCCTTAAAGCTTGATCACAGTTCAGCTCCAGCCATCGTGGTCAAAGTCAAATTTATTTATCAAACACGTTTAAAACAGCAACTGTTGACCAAAGAGCTAAAGAGCTGTACGCCAAAAAGAGTCAAAACACAGGAAGACGTGACAACATTTAAGAACAGAAGCAGAAAATGTTGAGTAAGAAATAAGACAAATAAAAGCAGCAAAAACTGATTCTGGTTTAAAAGCCAAAGAATAAAAGACGGATTTTCCTGATGTGAAGCCGCGGACACAGCAAAGGCTCGATCTCTGTGCTTTAATCTGGACCTCGGGACAGTCAGCAGCATCTGATCCGCAGACCTCAGTGATCTTGCAGGAGTGTCCCCGTTCAAAAAGGTATGAGGATGCTAACCTGTGCTTAAAAGCCAATAATAAAATCTTAAAATCAATTCATAAACAAACTGGCAGCCAGTGTAAGGATGCTAGTATGGAGGTAACTGTGCTGCAGTCGGCTAACCGATGACACTCTGACTCCTGAACAGTGTTGGTCAAGTTACTTGAAAAAAGTAATCAGTAACTAATTACTGATTACTTCCCCAAAAAGGTAATCCCGTTACTTTACTGATTACTTATTTTCAAAAGTAATTAATTACTTAGTTACTTTTTAAAAACACGATTTACACCCTGAAGAGGTGATAAAGTGATAGATCTTTCAGCCCAATTCTACTTTTTCTACATAATCCATCATACAAAATGTAATCAAATGGAAAAGTCTCTTTTTAAAACTTGTTTTATTAGTTTTAATCTTTTAAATGGTAAATGGCCTGTATTTATATAGCGCTTTTCTAGTCCCTATGGACCCCAAAGCGCTTTACACATCCAGTCATCCACCCATTCATACACTGGTGATGGCAGCTACATTGTAGTCACAGCCACCCTGGGGCGCACTGACAGAGGCGAGGCTGCCGGACACTGGCGCCACCAGGCCCTCTGACCACCACCAGTAGGAAATGGGTGAAGTGTCTTGCCCAAGGACACAACGACCGAGACTGTCCAAGCCGGGGCTCGAACCGGCAACCTTCCGATTACAAGGCGAACGCCCAACTCTTGAGCCACGATCGCCTTAACTTTATGCATGAAGCAAAAACTTAATTATATGCAACATTCTCTGACTGGAAGAAATTAGTTTAACATTTAAACTTATTTTCTGCACATTCCAGCACATAAAATAAATATTTTTGTGTTTACACTCACTCTTTCAAATAGATGCAAGTAAAACACAGCAGAAAATAAATAAAGTCAAAGACTCAGCGGTCCTGTTGGATCTATTTTCACCTGTAAAGCAGGAGTGGGGTAGGCGGAGGTTTACCCTGGTGCAGGTGTGCCGCGGTCAGTGGAAGAATCCGCGAGTTTCTCTGTGAGTTTCCCATTACGTCGTAGCTACTCGGTGCTTGTTTGGAAGTTTAGGGTTTTTTTCGCTGTAAAAAGAAGTTTTCTTCCCACGCACAGTGGACACTAATGTTTTTGTCACTTTTTATGGAATCAAACTCAAAGTAAGGTCAGTACTTCCACGCTTTAAACGCTGCACGCTCATACTCTCTCTGCACTGGATATGTGATCCATTGTTGATCTGCACACAGCTGTTGTTACGAACGTCACACTCGCTTACGTCACTGTCATGAGACATTCTCACAAAAAATCACGGTTTTAGTAACGCAGTGTTCCTACGGGAAAGTAACGGTAATCTAATTACCGTTTTCCATCCATCCATTCACTTCCGCTTATCCTTTTCAGGGCCGGGGGGGGGGGGGGGGGCGCTGGAGCCTATCCCAGCTGTCATAGGGCGAGAGGCAGGGTACACCCTGGACAGGTCGCCAGTCTGTCGCAGGGCTAACACACAGGGACAAACAACCATTCGCACTCACATTCACACCTAATTACTGTTTTTGCAATAGTAATCCCTCACTTTACTCGTTACCTCAAAAAAGTAATCAGATTACAGTAACGCGTTACGCGTTACTGCCCATCTCTGCTCCTGAATAAAGACCAAAGTCGAGGCGAGATGAAACGGATCTCTCAAAGCCTCTCAAACAGAGGAACGGCTTCACTTTTGCAAGCAGCTGGAGATGAAATAAAATATCAATTTCTAACAAGGTCACAGGGACCAAACCCAAACCTCCGTTTTCTGTTCATTTATATTAAGAAGGTTTAAAGCCATCCATGCGTTAACATCCTCCAAACCAGGGCTGCCCAATCCCGGTCCTCGAGAGCTACTATCCTGCAGCTTTTAGATGCATCCCCACTCCAACACAGCTGAATCAAATGGTTTGATTACCTCTTCAGCATGCCATCATGTTTGGCAAAGGCCTGATAACAAGCCGTTCATTTGATTCGGGTGTGTGGGAACAAGGATGCATCTAAAAGCTGCAGGACGGTAGCTCTCGAGGACCGGGATTGGGCACCCCTGCTCCAAACTATCAAGTAAACCCTTCAGAGGACTCGCAGTCTGCATAACAATGAAATGAGATGTCATGTTTTAACAAGGCTCCAAAAGCTTCTACAGGTGAACCCACGGAGGGTTAATCCAGCTGTCCTTCAGCCCAGCCTGACATCCTGCAGCGGCTGCGCAAGCCCCCCATCGGGGTTTAACTTTGTACCTCCCAACCCATGAGTTGTGTATCGCTCCACCTGCATGGCTTTTTAAATTTATTGGTCAGACTCTTTGGCTTCAGTAGAAATTCCACGTTCCAAGAAAAAGGGCTGAAATGCTTTTAACTGTATGATTTCAGCAGGTCGGCTTTGGCACCGATGCCTCGAATCTCAGAACCGGATGCCAAGAAATAATGCTGCTAAATAAAAGACGCATAAAGAGGCTGGAGGGGTGGCAGCTGTGTGAGAAGACCTCGGTTCATGTCCTGTTTGGGGTGTCTTTGTGGTTAAGGGTAGCTGGTAGGTCTGTGAAAAGCTTGGGCTTGGATAAAATGCAGCCATCACCACGTTAACGTCAGGCCTCCTCTCTGTGTTTGATTACAGGAGTGGTTTCAGGTGTGCAATCATCCAACGGCCTACAGCGGCTCACGCACCGCTTCAGCCACACTTCAGTGAAGCGCTTGTTGATGAGCTCTTTGCTCTTCTTGCTTACCGAAGGTGTTTCTGTCACCTTTATTAATATTATTCCACTCGTCTCCTGTCAGCTCGGTATTATCTCTGGCTCCTGTTATTATATTTCACTTCTCTGGTGTTTTATATTTTTTAAATATTGATTCTTGGATTGTTTTTTAGGTCGTGTTTATTTTACAGATGAGATCCTGGCTTCTGTTTCATTTCCCACCTTTGTGTTCACCTTTCCTTGTATCCCTCCTCCTCTGTGCTAAAGTCTGTAATCACACAGGGTGTGTCGGACCTTCTTCTTCTGTTGTCTCTGTACTAAAGCCTGTGTTTACCCGTCCTCCTCTGTCGGTACTGCTGAGAATGTAAAAGTGTGAAGGTGAGGAGAAAGTAAAAATGGGCGTGTCTTTATACGGCAACAAAGTAGAGACTTCAACACTGAGCTGTAAGGAGACAAGTGCAAATAAAATCAGTCCATTATTATGAATTGATTGATTTGCATGTTAAATATCTCCTGTTTTGTTTATAAACTTGATCATTTAGTTTTGAAAGCCTGACGTTTCCCTGTCTCTTCCTCACAACGACAAATACAGTTTATTAATTAAAATAAACTGCTCGGTGTCTGAGCTTTAACGATGCTGATGACATGCAGCAGGTTTGAGCGTGTCGGGTTTAAACGGCAGCGCGATGGACACGCAGAGCAGCAGCATCGCAGATTCAGCCACAGCGTCTCCCGTCAAAGCTCACAAACAGCTGCTGCATACAGTCGCACATCAGCCTTTCAAACGAGTAGCGAGCACGCAACATGTCACCACGACGGGACCAGAACACCAACGTGTGGATCAGACGATTGTGCAGCATGCTCCGAGTAATCCTTCAACTCTTGTTGTGGTATTTGAGAGTTTGAACGCTCAGGTGAATACCTGAGTCACTGATATCATCAGCAGGTGACCTCCTCCACCCAGAGACAGGCTCAGCCAATCGTCATCCACCCCAAACAGATTAGGACTAAGATTACAAAGGCGTAGCTTTCAGGAGGCTCCACAGTGTAGTGGTTTACACATTCACCTGACAATGAGCGATCCCCGGTTTGACCCCGTCGGGAAGGGCATCCGAAGTAAACAGATGGAAGTTTGGTGCTGGAAGTTTCTTCTTCTTCTTCAGCTTTAATCTGAAGACTTGCCCAAACACAGGCCCCACTGATTTCTACCAGACAGACAGAAGAATTTACTCGGATACATAAAGATGTCTGTGTGGCTCAAATATCTGCTCGTCACAAGTGTGTAGACCTCTGATGGTCGTTCAAACATGGAGGCTTTAGGCGTGGTTAGCATTGTGTGAGAGTGGATTTGAAGGCCACTGGTGAAGAAGACTTTACTTTCAGGGCCGTGGAGTGGAGTTGAACACTGTAGCTGGAACAGCCACACTGGGTCTGTTATTAGCACAGCGCTGTGATCTGCATTACCTCGCTAACGTCCTGTACGTGCACACGTGAGGTCAGGGTGCCGGAGCGAGGAGCGGCGCGCCGACAGGCTGCTCTGTATCCTGTGACCTACTGCTTACTGTGACCCAGCGTCTGTGTCTGCAGCCCTGCAGCCGCGGTGCAGTGACTGGCAGAGCGATCGCTAAGCCCTGTCTGTCTCCGTCGCTCTCCGGGCTAAAGTGGGCTAAGCTTTTCTTCCTCTCATTAAAAGGCATACGGGTAATCGCCCCTAAGCAGCAGCTGGCTAACGCCTAATACCCAACAACAAAGATCAGCCATGATGCTGCGATCGCTGTCCGTCTGGGTTTAAGAAAGAGCAGCGGGGCAAACTGAGGCCCGTGCGGTGGCACTTTATTTCCTCGGACCTGCAAAGCTTAGGGAGAATTTTACAGAAGAATGAACACGAGCAGAGAGGGAAATGTAGATAAACGCAGCTGCAAGAAGTGCTGCTCTGGGTCATTTCTCTACAACGAACAGAGTGGAGGCTTCAGAGCGGAGCAGAGCGGGGAGGGTTTCATGTTTCTGGAATGCTCTCCACATATCAGGGTTAGGTGCAGCCAGCAGCAATGCAGGCCTTTTACTCAAATACAACAGCTCAGCTTAGCCACAAACAGATAAATATTTGATTCTGCACTCGGTGGATGAGTTAGCGACGCAGATCCAGAAAGGAAGGGATGATGTAAGAGACATTTGATAAATCACGCATGGCGCACGTGTGCTCGACTCGAAATCGGAAACGTGCAGATGCACAGATGTACTCGAGGATTTAAGAAAGTATGAAACGCATTTATTGAATGTAGAAAAGAAGAAAATCGGGACGAGATGAACGGTGAGGGGGAAGCTGAGGTGTCAAATATCAACAAGAGGATCCCATCGCATCTCCTCCTCCGGCTCCTCCTCATTAGCATTGGCATTGTGCTCCTGGAGTGAAGTGACAAAGCAAAATGCTTCTGGTCTCAACGGTTTTTGAATCGGCTTGAAATCCCCTTTGTGTTGGTCAAAGGCCCCCTGACCGAACAGCCCCCCCCCACCGGTCCACCGCCTCCACCATCCTCCAGCCTCTCCCACCTCATCGCCCGGCAGTGCTCTTAACCTTTCAGCTTCATGATGCCGCGCTGCACTGAAGAAAGAGGCAGGGGTCAAAAAGCTCCCCGTGTGTCCGTCTCAGCACTGCACTGATCTCATGTTACCAAATACAGTTTCTATACTGGAGTTTATTCAAAAAGTAGAAAAAGGACACAAATATTTAAACTTCAGAGAATACAGTTGAGTATGAGCGTACACCAGCGTAACAGCGCGCTGTAAAATGCTGCTGAGACACAGGCGAGTTCAGTCTCTGATGAACCTGATGTATGACGGGCTGCTCATAGGCTCAGGCTACAGTATCTGTTTGGGGACACGTGCTGACACGATGCAGCACAGATGATGTGACGGGACTGAGTGACTAATACAGCCTCCCGACCCTCACAGACACATCTGCTATGTAGAAATATGGTTGTGACCAAACTCCTCGAAAATGTATAAAAGTACGTGATGGCTGCATAAGTCTATTTCCTACTTGGTGACGCAGCTCTTATGTGTGTTTTCTTGTACATTAGACACACAGTGAAGTGCTGCTGAGGCTTTCCTAATTTAAACTAATCGCCTTCACTCCGACTCGTCACCCGCATGTAAATTATTAGAATCCCAAAGTAAAAATATGTGCATGATTGACAAAGTTTGAACTGTGCTGAGCACATCAGAGCTGTTATCACTGTCATTGATTAGTGATCAGGTAAGACGTGCATATCTAATCAGGTTACTCTCTCCAAACTGTTTCCATTGTTACTCTCTTGGGTTAAACATTAATGAGAAACTCAGAGCGCCTCACTCCAGTTTATTCACATTTTTGTGTTTTCTGTTACAAAGATGAAGTGCTGAAGAGGACGCCCAGACCCTCAGCGCTCATGCTGAACCTGCACGCACCGACTCCATGTCCAAGCTGCAACAATAGAAACTCAAATAGATGCTAATGCTGTGAACTGTGTCGTCGTCGTGATGAGCAGAACCAACAGTTATTTTAACCGTCACCAGTAAAATCAGGCAGAAACTGGTGAGTTCCAAAGACTCCTGTTATAATCAGGTCACCTGTGGCTCAGACGCTACGATTACCTGACACACCAGTGAACTTCCACAGGGGGCGCTCTCGAGCGCACGCAGCTCTCAGAACTAAATCGTCATTGTGTTTTTGATAGAGAACAATCATTCTACTTTCACATTTCTTAATTTCAGGTTTTTAATGTAGTAAAATACCTTTCTGTGAGTATTATGGACCACAAACCTTTCTTTTTACAGTATCCTCCATCTTTATTTGAGGCATCAGAGGCAAAATCAGCTTCACTGCAAGGACGATTTGATTTCACTTCAGTTAAGTATTGACGATGGATTTGCAATAACTAAAATAAATGTGGATTTTTTTTGTCAAGAAACAGATGGAAATAATTATTTTAGCTCTTTAGCTCTATTCACTCCAAAACAATGAGGATTAGCAGTGCCCCCTCCCCCCTGCTGTGCCCAGGCAGAACTGCAGCCAGTTTCTGTACAATGTGGATAAACAGTAAGAGGAACGGGTCAGAACCACAGAGAAAACATGACGATGTTGGCTGTGCACACCTGGAAACTGCATTTCAACCACATAAACAAACAGATAACACACACACACATGTTGGGTATTCATATCCTGTGGGGACATCTAATTGACATAATGCTTTCGCTAGCCCCTTACCCCAACAGTAACCTTGAAAAATGAATATCTAACACTAACACTAACCTTTAGTTACCTAAACCTAACCATAACTAACTGTAACCCAAAAGGTTACAGTTAGTTATGGATTTTGGTCCCCACAAAAATATGAACACACACACACACTCACACACACACACACACAGTACTCAGGCACTGTATACATACGCTGCACACATATGTATGCGAGGTGAGAGAGTTATGTTGCCTCTGTTAACACTGAGGTAAATGATGACATCATAGGTGGCTGTGTTTGTCCATCTTTCATTTACAGTTTATTATTATTGCGTGGTCAAATTAAAGAGAAAAAACGAGAATGCTGACTGGAGTGGAAGAGGGCCGAGATCCTCGGGGAAAGAACACATGTGATGCGTGATGAACGCGTGAACAGCTCCACTTCCTGCCAGCCGGCCTGAGCAGCGCGAACCGGGAAAGAGACAAAGAGCAAGACTGGGAACAAAGAGGTGGGCGTGCCTGTACGAGCGGGCCCGCCCAGTCACTGCGGGCAGCCAATCGGATCCCGGATATGCAAACGAGCCGCGGCACCGCATCGCCCCTGCCCAGGCGGTGACGTCACCCGCACATCTCTCTGTCTGGCTCTGCAAAGACTCAGACAGAAGCAACAGAGGAGCTGAGGGGAAGCCAGCACGGATTATTACCGCTGTGGAATAAACACGCGTTTTCCTGCAGCAGCACGGCTCGGCTCGAACCGGGACGTCCAGCTTCGGCCTGGAAACCAAAGGGGGTGGATGGTTTTACTGTGGCTCCTTTGCGCTGCTTTCCCTCCCCTCCTCAGCCGCACTGGTTTCTTTGCACTGACCAGTTGTCTTTGAGAACCGGCTCCGGTGCCTCTCCCCTCTCCTCCTCCTCTTCTTCCTCCTCTCTTCCCCTCTCCTTTCTTCGCCCTCCTTCCTGTATTATTTTCTGCCTTCCACCCGCAACCCTGCGAAGCCGCAAACATGCCCAGCTCGCTGTTCGCCGACAGCAGCGTCCAGGGAGACGCGCTGGACGACCAGAGAGCGCTGCAGATCGCCCTGGACCAGCTCTCCCTGCTCGGCTTGGACAACGACGAGAACCCGCTGTACGACAACGGCCAGGAGCCCCGGAAGAAGAGCGTCAACATGACGGAGTGCGTCCCGGTGCCCAGCTC